ATGAATTAACCCAGAAAATCTTTTACACACCAAAGTTCGGCGATCAATCTTCCTTGTTTTTTAAAGCTTAATAGTTACGCCTCATGATCGCACTCATGCCAAACTGAAGGTTCTCGTGCGTCTGTACGGGACTGAATTATGTTCGAAACACACGTAATATATCCTGGCTGTCACCTTGAGGATATACAGCACATCGCAAGATAGATGTGAGTACGTTTTAGTTCAGCTTAACACTCCATTTTAACAAACGGCTGATTACAGATGAGGATGACAGGCAAGTGTAAGTGAAACGATAGACTGCATAATTTTTGCTTACTGAATCATTGTACTAGGTATTGTACTTCTCTACAAAGCAAACATTAAGCACCGTTTAGCGGTCCTCAGAGCTTGCGACGTGAATCTAAGTTCTCCGCGAAACACAGCAAAGCAATGACAAAACTGGTCGCGTAGACCTTCGCTATGTGGGCGAGTTCAACTCTGGCTTTGCAAACTACAGGCTAAATTGATCTTTTCTTCACACCTAAATCCTCTGAAGTGACTGTTCTTCTGTTTCGGTACGATTATTCCGTTCAGAAAAGTAATTTAAAGAATTGGATCGCAGTTCCGCCAAGATTGTAGCTAACCTGCGTTAGATGTCTTTCGTCGTACAAGGAATTGAGCTCCGGTTACGTAACATGCTCAAGAATAGTTGGCCAGAAACACTAACTGTCCCTCTTGAGTTTGCTACTTGGTGATGTTTATGGTGAGCCTCACGCCACTAGTGACGGCTCATAAACTTTTGTGACTGAATTTATGGTCGGAGTGCATATTTAGGCACATTTGCAGGCTGAACTGCTACCAAAGGAGGAACCGAACAGATTTCACGTGAACTTTCGCCTAGTATTCAAGATCCCGAGGTTTTTTGTGCCTTTCAACTAGATAGTTTCTAATTGATGAACTTTAGCCAAAGCGAAATCAGAATTGGCCATAACATGCTCAACGTCGTCTTGCCAGCCACGTGGTTAAAATCCTTCAAAACGACTCTGATTACACACCGCAATCAGGTTCTATACTTGTAAACACTTTTATTAAAACCGTAGTGACTCGAGATCTCGCTAAGGTTAATGTAAAGTTTTCGCTATTATTGATTTTACTGGGCAATTCAGATTACGTCGTAGTGTTTTGGATTTTAGGGACCTGTGGAAGTCGTAGACTCGGGTGGTTCATTTTGTCAGAGCTTACATCTGAGAAGTTGTAATAAAAGGCAATGCATACCGGAGAACTATTTTGAAAGTCTGCTTTCAGTTATGTCTGAAACTGACCATAACATTGTTTAGACAAATGTGTCTACTCAACCCCCCTTGCAGTCGCTTACGCTTTGGAAAAAGAATGCTAGTAAACGAATATACCTTAACAACTACCACGTGAAAACTATCAACATTTGGTGGATAGCTCACACCAAATGGAGGAGTGAAAACTGTAGCAGATATAAAATCAGTGGAGCAAGCTTTATTCAGAATATTCGGGCCTACTTGAATCGTGGGTGCTGACAGCGTACAGTGTCTCCTTCGTGGTACAAACAATCAGCAGTAACCTATGGCACTGGTGGTCAACATGAAGTGTTTCATTCTGTGGTCAGCCGGTGACTAAATATCCTAGCTTCTGCTATCAGTGGTTTTCAAACTTGCTTCCCGATTACAGAACCGTAGCGTTCATGTTAGTTGAGTCTCTAGTCTCTCCAAAATGAGCAAGTATTTCTCAAGAGAATCGAGTATTCCGCTAAAAACCTTCGAAAAATAGGATACTACGAATATAAATTTGCTTTTGGATTCTCATATTTACCGCAAAAGAGGTGCGACTAATAGCAGATTGCAAGATCTCGTATAAACGTTTTTACTAAACAACCATGATGGTGCGGGTTTTTTAAATTAGTGTTCACATCTAAAGTGGGTATCACTAAATACCCACTAAATACCACTAAATACTCACTAAATACCACAAGGAAGTAATCGGAGAATATGACCAGAAGACTGCGCCACTGTGATCATTTAAACTCGACATATATAAGGATAGAACGCGGCCAACCAATTCACAGTCAGCACACATGCTCGCGCGCACGCCTACAGCGGGCAGGGATCAAGTCAAACACTTCAAGTTCATGGACAATTACGGAACGCACGTAGCAGCCATACCTGTGGAGAAAACACGTTCCCGCCGTCCGGACTTGCACCCAGGAACTCCCACGACTTATCGAAAAACGATAAATCACCTTTTAACTTATTCCGTTGTTCGCATTGTATTTATTTCATCATGTTACAACTAGTAACCGTAGATTACTATCTACCATTGTAGAAACTGTTCTTAGTGCGTAAAACTTGTGAGTCGAATTATGGCAATCACAGTCTGTGCAATTTTAAATTGGGGAGCCCGACGTGACACATATGCTACGCCAGTTCCTACAGCAAAAGCCATTCTCTCGCCTTCAATCACGCCAACACCCAACGTCAACGCCACCTCTTTTCACCTTTCAGCATTCTGGCACCACGACCCATGCATCTGGTTCATACAAGTTTAGGCTCCATCCGCCCTTCGCGGAACTACGCAACGGCATATTGTGTATTACCATGTGCTTGCAACACTCCCTCCTGATATAGCAGCCGATTTACGCGACATTTTGGTGGATCCTGATGGCACCAAGCCAGAGACTCACTTAGGCACCGCCATCGTTAAACGCTGTCGTTTATCCGAACGTAAACGACTGGAACAACTACTTGATGGAGAATTTATTAGTGCAGAGGTTATGACTGCCATAATACGACTCACAAGGTTTACGCACTAATAACAGTTTTTACTATGGTAGTTAGTAGTCTACAGTTGCTAGCTGTACCATGATGAAATGAATATAATGCGAACAATGGATTAAGTCAAAGGGTGACTTATCATTTTTCGATAAGTCGTGAGAGTTCCTGAGTGAAAGTCCGGACGGCGGGAACGTGCTTTCTCCACAGGTATAGCTGCTACACGTGTTCCGTGATTGTCCGTGGAATCGAAGTGTTTGACTGGATCACTGCCCGCTACGCGCGCGAGTATTGTAGTATACGGTGTCCGTCATTTTGATTGATTCATATGTAAGTATTGGTGATGTACAACCTTGCTTACTGGGCTTTGGCTAATGAGCTTTGTTTCTGTTTTCCATCCACAGAAAATGTCGTGAACACCTGCCTTCGGAGAATCACTGTCCACTGGTGCGGCCATAGCGTGCATATTACATAATTGGCGACCACGCGAGGATGGTTACCACACACTGGTAGACCTACCACAGAGACCCTGGCTCTACATATGTGCATACAGGGCCTCAGAGCAGCACGTGACTCACTCACACACTGTAGACGCAACCCCAGATAAAGCAACCTCAGCACGCGCTCATCAGTCTCACGCACCACACCACTAGCACCGGCCCGATCATGTGGGCAATGGTACACCGGGGACGGTGTTCTTCAAAAAGGAGGCCAGTGTAGTATACGGTGTCTGTCATTTTGACTGATTCATATGTAAGTATTGGTGATGTGCAACCTTGCTTACTGGGCTCTGGCTCATGAGCTTTGTTTCTGTTTTCCATCCACAGAAATTGTCGTGAACACCTGCCTTCGGAGAATAACTATCCCCTGGTGCTTCCATAGCGTGCATATTACAGTATGTGTGCGCTGATTGCGTGTTAGCTGGCCGTGTACTATCCTTATGTATGTCGAGTGTAACGTGAAAACAACGATGTGAAATCTCATTGAGCCCTTTACGTGTTCACAGAACCTGTTGCTGACGTGTTATTCACCAAGGTCGTATTCATTGTCATCATGTTTTCTCACGATGCACGTTGTGGCATGTGATACAAAACAGGGCACTTGGGAGACAGTGGACGCGGATCCACTAATCAGATGGGCAACCGCTATAACCCCCATAAGTCCACGATTTTTCGATGAAAAAACTGTTTTATATTCTAGCCGAATGCCTTATGGGGTTATAAAACGGCACCACGAAACCGATTTAGGTCGCCTCAAGGTGCGTCGTGGAAAGCATTCACTGAGCGTGTGACAGGAAATGAGCTTCTTCACGTTGACTGGTTCTCTTTTTCCGATAATCCATGAAATGTTCTTCCAGAAATAAGTGCATCCAAATCATTTAAAAATACGTTGCTTGTACGTTTCACAACATGTTGTTAAGTTTGCAAATGTGAATGACTTAGATAAGGTCTCAAAATTTACAAAACAGAATATTCCAAAAATGGATCTCTGAAGCAACAAAAGTGGTACAAGCACTGCAGAAAACTGCATCTACAAAATTAAGACGAAGAAGAAAGCAAACGAGGAACAGTCTGATTGCGAAATATTATTCTTTTCGATTCGCGATAAGTGACTCTGTTCGCTCGAGGTGAGGGGAGTTTCCAACCGGTATCGTATACTTAATAATTGTCATTTTGCCCACCAAGAAACGTGAGATTAAGCACCGTTGAGTTGCAGCTCAGTGGGTCTTCGCATCGAGTGGACGAACTGGGCAATCTCCTAAAAGCCTAACTGCTACCATCCATCCTGATCTGTCCCGTACATATAGGTTACAATACAACTTGTACACATTTTGACCACTAACAACCAAATTATTATAACGCGTACAAGATAGTATTCCATTATTATACACCATGCAATTGACAACATAAAGTTCCACCCGTTTGATATTTTCTTCAGATTAGAACAAAAGATTTATTTTTTATACTTTGATTGGTTTCCAACTGTAGCTCGGCAAGGAACTTCGCGACCGGGAAGAACCTTGTGAATTTCATTTCCAACTAAGCACCAGAAACTGAAGTATATGGAGAACGTACACCGCTAGAAGCAATTCTCACTAACCATTTACAAGACCTAGGGATCTTCTACACAAGTTGTTCTTCACGCAGTTCCTGTTCCTCATCTCCAAGCAATTGGTCAAATATATACGTAAAGAATAATCAGCAGATCGTTAGCCTTTGGGATTCAGTAATTTGCATCGTCATGAATACAGCCTATGTTGTGGTGGAATGTAGGTAGCTCGGGTGCGTTGTTTGGTTGTTGGTCTGTTCGCCGAGCTTGGCAGTTGGATGGCAAACGTTTCATCATCAATTGAGGTGACATCGTCAGTGCAGGGTTGAGTGGGTCTAGAGAGCCTCAACTGCCGTTTTCATTCCCCATGTTTTATAGCTTACCACATTTCTATTGGTAATTATAGGCGAATCCTGTTTAAATCATCCGGCTGGCATGCACATTTCTTTTAAAAAACCTTATTTGCGGTTTTTCAATCTACAGGCCGTTGGGTATCCTGGCGGTGGTCAGTTTGTGCACATTCTATTGTTTTTTTATTCCCTGGAAAATTCCTCATGGAGGCAAGCAATCTCCATTTCTCAACTGCTCTGCAGGTTTATGCTTCGAAATCAGCTAAGTAATTCGTCCTTGATGAATACTTAAGGAAGCCGTACAAACGAAACTTCGCCGTGTTTTGAGGAAGATACGAAGACGGTCACCGAATCCGAGATGGCTGGTGAAGTAATTATAAACTACTTAGGATGATTCAGTAGCCAGACAATTTCAGTGTGCGCTGCCAATACCTAACTTTTTTCAAGCATTCATGTGAACACCACTGCAGTGACGTAGAATGGATTTGTTTGTTTCGGAATTTTTTCAAATGACAGGGACCAAGCATCTTACCTCCTTTTGGCACTGGAAACCACAGGATTGCTGCGGTAGAATTTGGTTTGTTCCTCGAGCACTCGAAACTACCAACTACGTGGCTGATGGAAACGATGTTTGTACTCAAATTTTTATGATTGACACCATTGCTGTTGTGATTCTGATTCACAATTATACCATGGCATAGGATATAACCGCTATGATATAGTCTTTTATGACGCTGTTTTGATGGCCAACTTTAGCCAAATGAAAGTACCACCAAAATGAGCACTGAGCAATCGGTAGCCTGTGACCGATACTAAGCTCATGTATTGACTTTATTTTTATAACCCTCTTTTTGAAATTTCGAGCAAGGGTTTGTTGTGAACAGCCAAAAACGTGGGGGAGCTCCTTTCCATTGCGGTAATGTACTTTCAAGTAATTGCATGGTGAAAGAAGTTGTAACTAATCGGAACAAATAATTTTTTTAAAAAATGTTTGGTGACCGTAAAAATTGGCCTTCTAGGCAAGCCCCTCCCAATAACGATAACAATTACGTTGTCCAAGTTAGATGAATTCACAGTGCAAAACACAGCATGATTTCTATCTCCTTTTATGTTGCAGCTAACTCCTGGTGGAATTATTGTAACTTTCACTGCCCCAGCTATATTTGTTCCTAATTTTTTGACTCCACTCATTCTGATCGGATTGGATGTGAACAAGTAACTGCATCAACTTGTTGTCTTCACATTACCAGAGTGGAGTCTGGGAACCAACCGGAGAACGCGCATGCGGTGCTCAAACTTAGTCGTTGAAAGAGCAACTCTAGATATTATCCCTTCGGCTATCCTGGCTGACCACATGTATTATATATCATTAGACGGGACAGTAGAAAAAAGTATCACCAGTGACTCGTGCGGGTGAGAAGCGGTTATGACAGTGTGTCCTAGGATCTTGTGCAGAAGGTGTAGTAATTGTTGATTAACCTGCTCAGTTGCGGAGACCTCGAGGAAACGACAATCTCGTACTCTGAAGTATGCGATAGGTAGATCCTTTATTGTTTACATCGGACGAAGTTAAAATGAACGTGTATTGAAGTTGACGTTTAGTCGGTATCGGCGTAAAATCACTCACATTATCTGTCTTCCTTAGTTAACTCTATTTTCAAGCAAAAGTACCAGTATAATAATGCACAAAAAATCAGCCACTGTCAACTTACATCCTGTAGTGAAGTTTGTACTCAATGCCCTCGGTCCCGATGAATGAAATTTCGATTTGATTCGATGTTGATCTCGACGGTTTAAGTCTTGATATGTCCCAGGGTAATTCTAAAGTGTGAAAATTTTACTCAAGTTGTCGCAAATGGTTGGGGAAACAGTAGTGTGAGGGAAATGCAATTCGGGAAGAAAATAAAATCGGTAATCTCGTCCAATCCGAAGAAGAAAGCTATGGTAGTGTGGGCGGGCTAGATGAGAATGAAGAAGTCAAGCCCAAAACAACTTTACATATCCTCAGGAGGCTTCCAGACTAACCGTCTGGTTTTGTCTCAGCAAAACTACATACAGATATCTCCCTTGTTTTAAAGCCATCGCTCTCCAAAATGTAATTATTCACAAGCGTGGGTTTCCTTAGAACACGCATTGGAATTAGTTTCCTACTTCCGGAAGTAGGCAGTCACCAACAATGCTAGAAAGTTCAGTAAACCGCGTGGACGAGTTATTGACGCTTACTGAGGTGCACCAACCAAATGCAGTTTTATTTCACTGGTAGACCTACTACAGCTGGATTCCACTGAAAAATGAAACCCGAATCTTAGAGACATCGTAATAGGCGACATTTTATGAATTCCCCACACGCTGAAAAATGGGATCCTTTTAAGAACTCGGGAAGCGACTAATCGGAACAGATGATATGGAATCGGGCTCTGACAGGCTCCTCGTCCTCCGTTCAAAGAGTACAAACTTCCACATTGCAAACTTTTATTTAGTAAATCTACGGGACGCTTACAAAACAGCTGACACAAAGTAACACTTTGAAACAAAAAATGTGTTAAGAAAGGCTGTGTGAAGGTGCTTTGTGTTTTAGTCCAAATTTTATGCTGTCCGGTTTGGATCCAATAATTGAATAAAACTAAACCTTGTGCATGAATAACTGCATAACAGATAACTTCCAGGAAGCTTAAATAATATTTCTGTTTGATTTACATAAACAATGCAGCCCGATCGCCAAGCGGACCAATGAGGTTGGTTATCTTGTCCCAATGTGATCTCACAGCATATGCTAAGGATGTTTGTTTTGTGTTTGTAATCTCGATGTGCTCTGCATGCCACAAAGTTGCTCCACAATTAGGTAGAAAATATGCGGACTGACTGGCCTTTCTCGAACTATGATATACAGATTGGTTCTACACCACAAAGTTTAATCATGTGAACCTCTACAAGCCACACCAGAAATCACACTGGAAATCCCGTTGCCATTTTCATCTTAAACTACTAGATTTATGGATCCATCAAAACATTTAGTTCACCAGGTATTACATGGTGACAAGTATCAAGCAGACGGGGGGAGAGAAGCGAATACAGATTCAACTGGGAATTCAATACAAAGCTCGGAAGTTCGGTGCTATCTCTGCTTGTGATCATATGCCTTGCAGTCTTTTTATGTGAAGAAGCGTCAAGAAGGGTAACCGGGACACCAGAAAACCCGGTAGTAGATTTAGCTTTCCGTGTTAAGTCTGGCCCTAAGGTTATGGTGAGAACGGATGTCCGTGTTTTTTTAATTAGTCCACCAGGATATATGAATACACGTTTGCGGGCGGAAGACTTGATACAGTTTCATTTCTATCAGGTCAAGAGGTGGAACAGGACATTATGACAGCGTTTAGGTGTGTGCCCAGGTGAGAAGAGAAGTAAATCGCTAGTTTTCTGAGGCATGGCACTTTACACAAGAATCGAACAATACACACATCGGGATCGACCAAGTCTGGAAGCTCCCATAACCATAAGAATTACACAATGGATGAATTACGAATCACACAGCAAACAAAAGACACTAACGGATCAGTAAGACAAGGGAAATGAAACCAAAAATTAGGTTGTCCAAACAACAAACCTACTGGAGGAAAACAACACAAAATCAGGAAGAAAGTAATTTAGTCCGAACTAAGAAACAGAACTACTAAAACGGGGACACTCAGCGAGCCAATCGAATGCAGGGAAGCGCGACCACACCACGAACAGCTTTTCAAGCTGGTCATCCAAGCTACTTGAAAGTTACCCGTTTATTTCACAGTTTTTTTACAAGGGAAATATTTTTTCACCGAAACCCAGCCCTCATTACATGTACATGTGAACGAATTACACAAGCTTTTTACTTATTTATACACCATCGAATAATTTCGCTGTTTAAGGGAACAGCTGAACCCACAAACGGGGAAATTCAAGTTCTCCGAGCTTGTTTGGTCTGCGAGAATAGCAGATGTTGCTCTGAGTCTACTTCTATCTAAAAGCAAGCATTAATCATGTTGATGCGGTTTATCAAGCCGAAGGACAGTACTTCTTCAAGTGACTGGTTCTGGCCACATTCAGACCTATGCATGAGATGCTCTAGTTAAACACTTTACGAGGAATTACGCCCCTGAGTGAATCGATAAGGTGTATATATGGGTTAATGGGACAGCACTGGAAACTAACTGAGAGAGATCCAGGTTGATTGAATGTCTCGGTGCATTAGCATACAAGTCACTTACCGGCAGTAGTTCTAAGTGATGATAAAAACCATATATCCAGGTTGGGCGAAGTGTGATCAAAACCGTCCGGTTCTGCAAGTTTCAGGTTTGCTGTGGTGGTGGTGTGCTTCGTAGTGGTTCCCATGTCGGTGTGCGTAAAGACATTGGAGCTGACTACGGAACCGACTGCGCAAAGTGTAGGTGATTTAAACCGGCAGAATCTGACAACGTTCTCCACCTTTGGTAAGAGGAATTTAATGCAGACCAGTTGGATTAATAGCAGTAACTCTAGCCAGTCAATTCGAAACTGATGTGCAAAACACCGCAATAACTAAGTGAAATCATGAGCGAAAAATGATCCGAATTTTAAGTGACCGTAAAAGGTATTCTTACACAGTACATAGTTTCTTCATTTAAAGACCTCTTCAAGTCTCACTAAGCTATCCTAGGGTGCTTAAAGTTGTCGCAGAAGCCACGCACAAAGTGTTCGGTCAGAATGACTGTCCTATATGGATGTGAACATATGGCGTTCTGAGAAATGAATATCTCTTTTGTGCGCACTACACCTTGCATCCTTAGCGGAATTTGAGTCGCACGCTTCGAAACACCAAACAGAAGCTTTGTAAAGACAAATCCGTGTGGATCCCGTACCTAAAGTATGACGCACCGTTTGCCGTACTCGTGACTTCCAAATGAGTTCGTGTGTTCCCCTGACAGACCAACATCAAGTATCTGTTACACTTATAACTTGGATGTTGTCTGGTAACTGATACAACTACAGTAGATGACCGACGAACAGGCTCGGCTGCGACAGTTTAACAACAAGTGCTGGATCCGTATAACTTGAGTAGATCAGTGAAAGCCCTCTTCGGACTGAACGCGGAAAAACTGCCCATCGTCAATTTCGCCACTTATTAGCTGCCGCTGTAAAGTTTGGGGGGAAATTGTACCTATTCTGCAATCTGGAAACAAACAGGCGGAAACTCTTCCCCCAGAGCTATCGGGCTATAATTCTACTAGCATGTGCTCAAAAGACCGTATCGATTTCTGCGATAAAAACGAAGTTTTGTGACTCTGATTTTCATGACTATTGTTACTTATTAGAGTGCCTTATGTGACCATCGTCAACTGTGCGTGAAAATGTACGCGACAGTTAATCGAACGCATTGACAACGTTATCGTTGAAGGTTTATATTATCTGTACATTATTCGAAATTTTTTGTTTCAAGTGAAGTTGATTTATGCCGAAAAATCAAAAGGAAAGATGAGGCTAAAAAACGCAATACACTGCCCGAAGAAGAGGTGACCTCAACGAGAGGTCAGTTACTCTAATTCTACTAGCCATCATTCCTTTCTCCCTTTTTCTTCTTTTTTTCTTGCAACCACCCTACTTGCAGTCGTTTGGCTTTTCTGTCAGATTACCTGTTTCTCATATAGGAATGACCGATGTAATATAATACTCACGAGGTTGTTCAAAGCTCCTCGACAGCCCACCGCCTACTTCGTTCCTCTTAAGACTCATTAGGTAAGCGCGATCCCCGAGTCCAAGTCAACATGATGTTTTGCGTGAACAAAGATTGCAAGAAATGCGCCCTATACACTGTTCTGCTTCTTTCGTTTTATGTATCACCAGAGTCATGCATCCCAAAAGCTTCGAAGACGATAGTTATTTTTGACCGTCCAATTAGTAGCTGAGCACCGCAACGTTCCGGCAGAATATTTAGAAAGGCAGAATACTTAAAGTACATTTTTCCGAGAGAAATACAATATCTGATAATTAAGGCGTTTACACTTTCAAATACACTGTGAGTCTTTGTCAGCATAAATCCGGTTACGTTTAGATGAACCACCATAATACTTTGCTTGGTTTTGAAGCAACGGAGCATTCATCATTAGTTCAACTTTTCTGTGTACGCGTGTGTGAGATATCACTTAGTTATGCGCACCCCTAATGTTGTACTAATGTGGCAGTGACCTCACCTACTGAAACAGATGTAAAAGTACGTTTAAAAATTTTACATCACATAATATCAGTACAATCTGCATGTACGTTTTAAATTTGCCCTAAAATTGGGGCTATTGCTGAACCCTTTCATGCTACGCAAGTTTTGTACAAAGCCAAATCACTTCTTAATAATCCAACTGAATGAGACCACTCATAAGCGTGGTGTAAAAAGCAGGCTTTATCTTTCCTGGGGCGGTGGATGTGTTAGTAGTTAAAGCGACGTCTGTAACTGTGTTTCCTACAGTGTGATTACACAAAGTGAATCAGGCAGTGAAATGCAGAGAGGGTCGGACAGGGCGCTGTTTTTGAGCACATGAGATGTACAGCAATCACGACTGACTATTACTTTATTTAGTAAATATCAAGGATTGAAAATTTTTAGATTCGCTCAGTTAATAGGGTATTCAATGCTCGAAAAAGAGAGTCACTCTGCTTCCATATTTGATATTAGAGTTATTTGAAGCCGGTTTTGAGTAAAGTGGGGATAAATCGGTCACATTGTTTTGATAATGCCACAAAGTAGACATGTACTTCGAGCTACTTCACAGCCGGTTTACAGTTATATTTTGAAAATAACAACCAAAACAAAGCTGTGAATGAGATGTGAGGTGAACGGTCTAGTGTAATCACGAAAAGGGAGGCTGATGTTACATTTGGAGATTGGACTAAAGAAGAAGTCTACCTTTAGGAATTTCTCCTTAACATTGTCTTCGCAGCTCGGCAAAAGCACGGCTTCGCAGTTCCCACAGGTATCGTGGTAAACGCCCACAACATCGTCTGCCGCGTCAATTATCCCATTTTTTCTGAATGTTATTAAGTCGCCAGTGCTGAAATGACCATTCAAAAATAAAGTATTTTATTTATGTATCCGTACATTTATGTAGCCACTTTTAGCTGATAGCATTATACAATAGTTGGACTGCAGTCTTTAGTTCGACTGAGAAACAATTACCAATAAATTTGTCAACCTGTTAGACTGTTTTTTATTCATTTAGCATTCGTGTGCCCAGAGCTGAACATCACTCTCACTGATACTCCCGTCCTTATTTCAAAACCGCAGACAAGGCATCGCCTACTGATGTTGTAGTATGGTAGAGTATGGCATATAGAACACATGGTAGAATATAGTATAGTGAAGACCCAACCCAAAAGGCCGCTAATCACAAACATTTAAAGCAATCACTATAAATTTGTTTTGGGAATTATAGCTTTTGTTGGCCACTTTGGACGTTGTACTAATGTATATTTCCCCTGAAGTCGCTGAAGGAATTGTGTAGCTAGTCGCTCAACCAACTCAAACGCATTTCCAAAAGTGACTTGTAGATTCACATAATGATTTCAAATCGTCAGAAAGCTTGACGCAGTAAACTACGTTGTGCTGACCGTGCCATTCTATTAAGGACTACTTATCTACGCATATAATTTATCAAAACGCAGTTTGTGCCCATCCATTTAAAACATTGCCTAATTTCAGGCTTTATAAATATATAAGCCAGAGGTCCAAGGCGTCCCAAGAACTGCGCTTTGGGGGTTAGTAACAAGTCCGGATAGAGGGTGAATCAGAAACTTGTTTGTTTACTTTGATAGGCTTTGCTGTCCCATACTGTAAGGCCATATGTGCTGCAAGGGGATGGAAGATGTATAAGCCACCCTCAAAGGGGATTCAGCCTCTTTAAGTTCCACTCTAGCTTATTGTTTTTGATATTGCATACGATAGTAATTGGAATATAAACCTACTGTATATTTAGCTTCAATTAATTAGGTCACACGAAGAGAAACTATGTTTTAGTTGCATTAGAGTGCACTAGAACAAAATTGCAAGTCAAAAATGTGCATATTTTATCTGCACCAAGACAGTAATCAATTTATTAAGCCAAGTAATATAGATTGTTCTTGGGATAACCTAGAGACACAATGATATAAGCGCCTGTACTGCCCAGCAGACGGTGACGGTGAAAGTAAAATCCTCGATGCTACAGATTGAACAAGGTATAATAGGTTTCTTCAACTGTCTTCATGAGCTGGAATTTCTCCCGTAGTATCGGAAGCCTTTGATAAGCCTTTGATAACCCAGGTTTTTACATTCAAGGATTTAGAACGTTCAGCTGTATCTGACAAAGAATTGGTATTGAAATCCTAGAAAAAAAAGCGACTACTCAAAATAAATTCGGACGCTTTTGATTATTTCTTCAAGCGGTTAAAAAGTTCATTCTGGATTTTGGGACACATCTGATTATTTGGACAAACTAACTGAAATTATCACTTGAGAAGATTCATTATCGGGAGACAACTCTCTAACACAAACTAAACAGCTCATTTCACCGTGTTTTTCCGCCTTTCAGTAAAAGGTTGTACCGAAAAAAAAGGTTTCCGTATTTATTCCAGTATATGCAGAACCTTGGATCATCATTGTAGAAGACTGTCATTTATTCAGAATATTCCCAAAAATAGTTGTATACATAATTTTATTATTTGTCTTAAACTTACCGCAGGGCATATGTTATGCCAAACGCATGAGTTTTTCTGAGCGAACCAACTATAGTGGGAAGTGTTTGGTTTTTCGTATCAGCAACAAGCCAATATTGAATTCGTTCTCCACCAATCTTAATGCTTGGACTGTTTATCAGCACTTCGGTTTTTCCAGTCGCCACTAAACTAGCCGGTGAGATGCACCCTCTTGACTGCTGCATGCTAGGAAATTTGTAGAAGAAGAAAGGGAAAATGAACTCGAAATTCAAACAACAAATCCATGCGGTATCTGAACCTTAAGTCAAACTCAACCACAAACCCTTAAAACCACACAAAGCACTTATGATCTGTGAAATCAAAATGTGAATCCGGTACATACCGATACACGTTTATAAAAAGGGCACAAGCTACCCTCGTGAGTGGGATGGTGAAGCTGATGGAAACTTTAGGACAGCCTTGGTTGTTTGTCTGTTTGCCGAGCTTGGTAGTTGGGTTGCAAACGTTTCCTCACCATTCGAGATGACATCGTCCCTCAACCCTGCACTGACGATGTCACCTCGATTGGTGATGAAACGTTTGCAACCCAACTGCCAAGCTCGGCGAACAGACAAACAACCAAGCAGCGCACACGAGCTACCTAAATTCCAAAACATTTAGGACAGTCTAATGCCATATTCATCCACTTTAGGCTCTTTAAGAAGCGATAGTGCCAATCTAGATATTGGTATCGAATGTGGAAAGAATAGACAGTGTCTCACCACTCAGTTCATGAAATCGACTTGCGTTTCTGTAACAGACAGACTTTTATTGTGTTTTACTCTGTTCCATTCTAGTGTTTTCAGATTGAAAGGCATAAAGTTTTGCCCGTAGGTTGTCTTCGGTAAATCTCATGTGTAATAATGCGTAGGATTTAGGGCGTCATCATCATCATCGTCGAAGACACCAACATCAGTGTTAGCACTGACGCTTCACTGCCGTACAACCATAAGGTTCGTATATATATATATATATATATATATATATATATAT